CCCATTGTCGAGTATGGAAACTATTTTGTTCAGCGCAAGTTATGTGGTCTGGAGAGTAAAGCTCAAGCTTGACTTTATGGAATCACTTTCTTCTTCTTGTTTGGCGCTGTAACCGCTCAAGCGATTTTGGCCGAGTCCCAAACAGCACGCTAGTCATTTTCTTTCTGCGCCAACTGACGCCCATTGGAAATTCGAAGTGAAGACAAGTCCTTCTCCACTTGCTCTTTACAATGCAGAGGAGGCCTTCCTCTTCCACTGCTACCAGCAGCGGCGCCCGTGTTGAATTCTGCATGAGAGTTGCACCATATCAGCTTCTCGCCGCCATACTAGAATAAATAGCTCAGCTGGCAGGTAAGCGCACGAAATCATTCCTCATTTGAAAGTGTCCCTAAATTTTTGATGAACCAGTCTTGCGAACACGGTAAATCGTCCAAGAAAATGATCTAAACTATCCTCATTATATAAACAGAATGTACAAAGCTGACGGTCGATGATACCTATGGTGCTAAGGTGACCATATGTTGTCCCCATCCAAGGTAAGACTTACCAGAGCTCATAAATCCCTCATTTTCTGTTTGCTAAAAATATGTCTGCGCACTTAGGTAGTTGTTTTGCATGTGCCAGTATTTCAACAACGGTTCTCATGTCCCTTGTTCATAAAATCGCTCATGTACCTGTAATTAGCCGTGGTCACTTTTGACGATACAAATACCCGCAGTTCAGCAATTCATCTGGAAGCTCGTTACTTTGAACACCTTAGTATAGTATACCCTTATAAGTGCAATCTTATTTCAATTTCAGCCGAGATCGCACTCCACCTACATACATTCCTGGACTTACTAAAAGAAGTGCGAACTGTTTTGAGGAGCTTACGTATGTTTGTCAACTTGGCTGTGATTGTGAACCCTAATTTGGTGCCCCGGTACATTTCTCCATTTACTCAGTCCGCTTATTTAGGTGATGCAGTAACGCCCAATTAAAATATGAAGGAAGTAAAACGTAAAATACGAATGGCCCCTTGTCATTGGGAGACTGGCACTCTCTGGCATTAAAATAATTTCTCCATGGATGGGTTGAGGTTTTACTGCCAGATACCCTTGAGGTCCTCTCTTCAGACAAGGGGGACAAAGTAGTTCCTGTGGCAACCTGTGAACTACTTCTGGACATATATGCTTATAAACAATTAAGAGGGCCCTGGAGCTTCTCTCGTTTATTACAGGTGTCCTGGACAAGAACTGTTCATTAGAAAACCATGCGGTGCAAATTAATATTGATGTCGACCCATATTTTCGCCGCTGCTCGTTTACACATTTCGGTTCGCATTTCATCAACACTCCCACGGAACTATGGAGTGAACTATCAGCTGCATGCGGAACTTTACTTTGATCTTCCAGCGTTTTACCTTCAAAAATTACAGCCTAATTAATGGATAAGTGAGGCCCTCGCGAGGCTACCAACTATTCCAGCCTAATTATGGTTCTATGCCAGCATAACACAGCTGACTACATGATGATTGATCGGACTCAGCTGAGTGTACGCAACAAACAACAAAGGTTCTCCGGCTCTATCGTAAAAAATTATCTCTTATAAAAATCTCGACGTGAGTTCCTATTCAATGAAAAATAATTCTCACCGACAATGCAATATTAAGAATTTAAAAATAAGTATTTGCATTAATATGCACATAATTTAAGAAGCAACGGTTAAAACCAACTCTTTTCCCGTTAATCTGCATATTCGTCTTTTACCAAGTGACCTTTAGCAAGCCCAGGGCACGTCAGACCCTATTATAACCCCGGGGCAACCATATATATCAGTAAATAAAAGAAAATTTGTTTATTGCACACTGTACGTAGATATGATGTACAAGTATTTACATTAGGGCGGGTCAAATTTTTTCTCTACTTTTTTCGGCGACTGACGTATTTTACTGGCAGTTCTGAATAAAAAAGTCCGTGGAAACATAGCTCTAAAATGGATTTGGAGCCTGCCTATTTTTAGTTTTAGAAAGTACTTCATAAGCTATTTTTTTAACCGAATTTAATTTAATTAAATTGATGAGATTCAAAGTGGGTATCATACAAGAAAGATTATATTTTGGAAGAAGTTAGTCACCTGTAAAAAATGTTATTCAATTAAATTGATAAGGGAAATCAAATGTTGCAGTACTGGTACCAAAATTTTGTTTTGAAAAAAAAAAATGTGTTTGAAGGACATACAAATTTTAAAAGCTACTTGAGAAAACGGCACTAAATTTATACGATAAATGAAGTATTACATTTTTGCCCTCAAACGAAAGGTATTTCAGAAATCTTTGATCTGTAAACCTTTTTCAATAGTGTTGTCACCAATCTAAAAAGTTACGACACAAAATTTAAAATTGAATTAAATATTACGAGATGTACACCAAACGAAAAGCGTTTGAAAAGGCTTTATGAGAATGGCCAACATGTTTACAATTTATTTTCAAACAAATTGTTCAAAAACTCTTTGATCAATATATTTTTTAAAGGGTTGCCACTGATATTACTTTTCTTTAAGTACTGAGGATTTTAGTAATGGAGTGGAAATACAAATGATGAAATGTTTACAAAACGAAAAATATTAAAAAGCAAATCATAGAAACTTAAGGAATAAATAAAATAATAATATTAAAATATCAGTTGAGAGCGGTTTAAAAAGTCCTTGAAGGCAACTTAACATGTTATCACCAACTTTGTTAACATAAATAATTTCGTTTTGAGGCGCCACGATCTAATTACATAGGGCCACACTAATTTTGGTGCGGCAAATGTTAAAACTGTTTCTGATAGATATTTTCGTACTGATTACGAGGTGATATAATTGTCGGCTTGTAAATTTTATATCTGCACAGTTACCTAATTTTTCTAACCTGAAAATATGTTCAGGGGATGTAGTCAAAAGTTCATCTAAGCCTCAGTGGAATGTTCTATAATCTTCGGTTTCTCTCGCTGGAGCTTCTCAACAACATTTTTCTCAAATCTCGAGCTAATGGAAATTTTATACCCACGGACTCGTAATAAGTGCAAAAAAATAGAGCTGTGCTTCCATGGACTATTCTGTTCAGAATTGGCAGTAGAATACTTCAGTCGCCGACGCGAAGTCAGTTAGATATATATTTTTAAGGACAAATTGACCCGCCCTAATGTACATATATACATCCATAGGCATGTATGTATATATCTGAAATTATATAAGCACACTTGCACATAAACGTACGCATGAATGAAATTTATGATTATGAGGAATCCCATCCTAGTATTTGTAGACGTGTAGGGTGAATGGGTGACTCTGAGCAAAAGAGTAGGACAGTACGTCATCGCGTCTCTAGCACAATTTTTTTTTATTTTTTTTTTTAGCTGCTCAACGTGCTGTGCTCGTTTTTGTAACTCATTTGCCAAAACGTTTATTTTTACATCTTTTCATTTCAGCATACTTTTCGCTTGACGCAAAAATTATCATTGCGCTGTTGTGCCTGTGCCTTAAGGGCAAAGGAAATACTTACATACTTTTATGTGATGAGAATGATATGCATATCAGTAACTAACAACAAAAGCCTAGTTGAATTATGACAATGTGGCACACAACATCAAGAAGAAGAAGGAGAAAAAGAGTAACAAAAATAAATAGAAAAAGTAAATTACAAACGCATACATCTTTACGCCCGATTTCAAGTACCAATGTGTATGTGTCTATCTGTACGATTATTTTCGCTACAAAAAACTGCTAACGTTTGCTATTCTTCTGCCTCACAAAGCTTGAAATTTATGAGATTCGCGTATTTGCGTATGATATGTGTGCGTGAATGATAATAATGATAATCGCAAAATAGCTGCAGCAACACAAGCAGAAAAATAACAACAAACAAAAATCGCTACACCATTCATGCCACTCACAGTTCATAACATATGTATATTAGGGTGGTCCTTAAATGTAGGAAACAAATTTTTACATCAGATGTCCTAAGCCCCAACCCTTACGTCGATGCTGCTATAGTCGAAGATATCATATATAAATTTTTCAGATTTCAGATTCCTCTATGGTGGCTGAAAAAATTAAAATTATTTCGCAGTCGGTTAAGACGTCTTTATAGGTAAATCTGAACTTTGACCTTAATCGACTCCAATCCGTTACCAAAATTTATATGTGATATCTTCGACTATGGTAGTATAGATTTTAGGTATGTATAAGATAAAAAATATTATTTTTAATTTTTTGAGTCTCTTTAGAGGAATCTGTACGTTGCCCCCCGTGCGAAACGCCTTAACCGTCTCCAATCGGTACCAAAATTTATATGTGACACCTGAGGCCCTTGTTTTACCGATTGAGGGGCTGAGACTGAGAAAAATCTTTCACCAGGACCACCCCAATGTACATACATATATACATACTTATAAATATGTAAAAGAGTGCGCTGGTGCGTATGAAGCTCCCGCGTGGAGCTGTAGTTGGCATCGCTTTTGCTGCTTGGCGCTGTTAAGTGTTATTTATTTGACTCTTGCACGAGAATTGTTTTTATTTACTAGATAAATACTTTTTTTTTTCCTTTCGGCTTGTTGCTGTGACTTCCGCGCGGCCAAGTCATTTTTTGAAGGATTGATGCAATGCTGTCGACCGGCTGAATGCTAGCGAACGACAATAAACGCCAGCAACATTGTTGTGTTGCATATGTACATACATACATATTTATTAGCACGGGTCGAAATTTTTATTTTATTTAATCCTTTTGTAATAGTAGTGAAAAAATGTTTTTTGTTATAAGACTGTAAAAATGTGCCTTTTATTTTATTGACCGAAGTATACCTATCATACTGACATCCAGATGACAGCTGGATGTATCTCAGACACTAATTTTCTAGATCAAAATATATATTAGATATTTATTAATAAACTTTTCGATTCAAAGTACCTATTCTATCAACATTTTAAATACTTATTAATTAAATAGTCATACAACTAAACTATATGTCGAAAAATAGGCGTTTTTAGTAATCAATGCTATTGAAACTCAGAAAAATGTCGAACCTTCGGTGTCTCTCAGACTACCACATCAGTCGCCAGAGGGTTATGCGTAAGATCCCACGCTTCGATCATCAAGAGTAACAAAGCACCCGGTCCGAATACGAATTCAAGGTTTAGGTTTGGCTGGTATATTAGAGAATTAATCCGAAAACCCAAATAATATAAACGAGCAACTGCTGTGACAGTCCTATAGTTAGGGTTGCTCTTCAAGTAACCTTTTTTCAATAAGCATGTAGATTGTTTATTGATTATTTCGTTGGTATACATACATATGTACATACGATTTAAGTTTCCGTCAAAAAACTTTCTGGATCTTTGAAAGACTAACGTGTTTGGGTACCATCATTTTTATGCAGCATAAATTTTGCTAAATTATTTTTATATCAGTGTGTCTCCTCTTTGTGGTACTGTAGGGACCTACGAAGTAATTTCGCATAATTTTGTATGATGGAATTTATTAAAGGAATTAAATAATGTACTAAAGATGGATGTGGCTACACGTATTTTTATTTAGTGAATGTAAGTATTCGAATTCACTATCAAAACTAATCCAAAATAAGTCGCATTGGCGTCATTAATAATATAAGTTTGAGAACGTTCTAAATCGGGTATCGACTACACCCACCTATGATCCATTAAATATAGGCATCATTTCTTTATTCATTCTGAACGTTTGGAATAAATTTTTTTTGTTTAATTATTCCTTGGAACGTTCCTGATGATATGTTAACGTATATTTCAAATGCATTCTGTTTATTCTGGCTGTGAAATCTGGAGTGTGTAAGGAAACGCAGCTATAATATAGAAATTCAAAAACTCAAAAAAGTTTGAAGTAATACATAAATATTCGGTCCATTTTTTTTTGTATTTATTCACTTGGCTGCTGAATTAACGAGATACAGAAAATGTTTATGCATGAGAAAAGATTACTTTTAGCATGTTCTTTGAAAACGCATATCGTCGTTTAAAGTACAAAACCGCGTATCGTCATTTTGCAAAACCGTGTAACTGACATTGGCTGCCAAAAATTTAATTTGCTCACCCAAGCTCTTGGCTCTATCCTTATTCATTCGTCCTGAAATATCCTAGCCAAAGATGCGATTGCCATTTTGAAATATGAGTGTTTTTACTCTCTAGAAAATTAAATCTACAACTTCACATACGCGGTTTTGCATTTGGCTGATACGCGGTTTTGCACTTTAAACGACGATATGTATATCAACAACTTGAATTCTTTTGGAAAAATTGTCGATGAGCGCGAGATACTAAACTATATAACCTTTAATCTGATAAATCGTTTGTTTCAATCGGTTAACGTATTCCCTAGATATTATAAACCAAAGTTACTTTCTCCAAAATTCTGATCCTTTGCATCAATTGCTCGGGCTAAAGATAAGCTTTACTTTTATATTTCGTTACCAATTATTGTTTTCATAGACCTAAAACAACATAATATTACTATTATAATAAAATCAAATTGCCTTTATTTTCCAACATACAAAATCGACCCAGCCTAATACATATGTTTTTATGTATGTGCGTATGAGGCACTCATGGGGGTTCACCTACATGCATACATGCAATCGCCAAGACCATTCGCAAACGCACAGCTCTAAGCTCCGTCCGTTCTTTGCGTGCTGTGCTAAGTGCGTTGAGTGTGATAAGCCCCAAATGTGTATAAATATGGCAGTCATATCACAATTGTACCTAGGTACTTGTGTTTTTGTAAATATGTATGCTTCTGTGCGCATGTGATTCTCCCGAAATTGGGGCAATGGGGGAATATGCGTGCCACACAATTTACAATCGTGGATAAAATGAATCTAAATTTTTTCAGTTTGCTCTTTGTTTTTCTTCCCTTTATTTGCTTGCTGCAGCCTTCTGTTGGTTGATGACACTTTTTGCCTCGCTATATGTTTTTGGCATTTGCATAACAACTCAAACCCATGCTGGCCCACTCGTTGATATGAGCGTTTACAGTGATGATTTTCATGCCTATCACTAAGATTTCTCTGCTCTACTTTGATAAGATTCTGACACGATTTTGCCGAACTCTAAATTGTGGAAGCTTTTCCATTCTCGGCTATACATATGTACATATGTATAAGTATGAATATACTGGGTGATTGACTCGGTTTTTGCAAACCGCTTTTTCCAAAATTTTTGGCTGGTTTTTTGGAAATCAGTTTTTTGGAATATCTCATAAGCTGGAATTTTGTTATCGAATAATCCGAGTTTATTTTTTAGCTAAAATATTTATACAACTGAATCTTAAATCACTGTAATTACGTTATAAATTTTTAATTTTTTTAAAGCAAACAGAACTTTTTTTAAGCAATCTTGCTCTTAAATGCATTATACTTCTCTTCGGAGATTGTCTTTTAGTATGAGTATGGTTTTCAAATTCGAGCACACACAGGGCAGAGTGCGAAATTTTAAGAAACGAACACAAAGTTTTGCGAAATTGTATTTAAATGCAAACTTAAAAAAAATATGCTAAACAAAGTAAAAATCACCACTCGTGCTCATATACCCGGAGTTGCGTATGTAACGTATACGCCACGTAGCGCCATACACAGTAAGCTAACCCTGCCATGTCTTAACTTAAAAACCCATTTTATTTAAAAGTAATTAAATCGTCGGCCGCTGTGGTGAAGTGGTAAGCAGTGTGCACTTCCACTCCGCCGCACCTGGGTTCAAACCCTGATCAAAGCAACCTCGCAAAAAATATAGAAAAAAAGTTTTTTCTTAACAGCGGTCGTCTCTGGGCTGGTAATGGCAAACCTCCGAGGGTTTTTCTGCCATGAAAAACAGCTTCTCATAAAAATACAATCGCCGTTCGGAATCGGCGTAAAACTGTAGGTCCCTTCCCTTTGTGTGACAACATCAAGGCGCACGCCACAAGTCGGAGGAGAAGCTCGGCCAAACACTAATGTATGTGTAAGCGCCAATAAATTATTATTAACTAAATATTAGCATTTAAGATTTTTACACAGTATTCCTTATACACATTTATATTATACTTTCTTCATGTACATATATAACAATTTAAGATTGGATTTCGAGTATGCCAATAAAAATTGTAGAAATGGAAGTTTTGTTTCTCAAATCTTTTACTCAATGTAACATTTTCTTTTCATTTGGCGACGCACTAGTTTTATTACTCCTGATTCATTCGTTTTGGCACGAACAACATTTTCACCGTTTATTTTAACTTTTTAAACTATCTAAAATTATCAAAATTTCAAAAATCGTTAAATTCAAAAAATTTCAAAATAGCTGGACAGATATTGTGCACCCTGCCATTTTTTAATTTGGTGGCACGCTCCTGAAACTTCACAGATATGCTGTATTCGAAGCCAACTTTTATTGTCCCTAATATGAACATTCTATTTCAAAACTTCCCAAAGTTATTAAAAATAAAAAACATTATTTATAAGTTTTTTGATTGACAATGATAAAATTAGTAATTCCTGTACTTTGTCGCATAAATAAACCTTTTTTCGTAAGTTTTAATAAAACTCAAAGTTGCGAGCAAAATTACATTTACTAAATTTTTTAATGGATTAAGTGAACGTACTAACTTATTTTCGCAGGACTAAATACAGGGTATACAAGTTTTTAGTAACGAAATAACCCGTACTTAAGTACGTCGTATACATTTATGACTTCAATAAACACTGTTTGTAAAAGTAGTCCCAAGAAGTTCCGAAAATCTCGAATTAGGCGCGAATATACCGAAGTAGCCCCTGGTATCCCGGCAAAGACCCAAAAATCTCAAAGTGATCTTCGAAAATCTCCAAATAGTCCAAAAATCTCGAAATAGACTCGAAAATCCCAAATCGTCTTGACAATCCCGTAGTAGTCCCGAAAATCCCGCAGTATTCCCGAAACAGTGCCGAAAATCCCAAATAGCCCCGAGATTCTCGAAGTAGTCTCGAAAATCCTGAAAATTCCGAAGAAGTCTTGAAGATTGTTTCAAAAATCACTGTATTCATAAAAAAAATAAATTGTGAAAATTTGTCAATATGTGATGCAGCTCTAATTTTTTCGACCACTATATGTATGGGTTTCTCCATTTTGGTAGTAAAATCAAAACTTTAAAAGGATCTCCCATAAAATGTCTCTTTTTTTAGTTATGGCAGTTTTTTTAGTAAATGTGCGATATGAACATACATACATACATACATACACACATAGATACGTACATACTTTTGTACTTTCACAAAACAATCTGACTGACTAGGCTTTGCCACGTAATTCGAAGTTGCGCTAAGATTATCTATGCATAAAAGAGGCGTTGAGAAATGCGTGTTATCGTATACTTGCAACATACTATGCATTCATGTATATTCATACTAAGTATCTGGAATAGTAATAAGTGCTATCTAGCATGCTGATTTGACATGCTTGAATGTGTTGCAATGTTGATACTACTCTAGATATAAGCATATGTACATAAATATATATGAATGTGTTTAGTTACTAATGAGACTTCCTGGGTTACTGTCCTACATAATAATATTTTTTATTTTTTTTGTTTTGGCAACATCTACAGCACGAATATAATTAGGCTTTGATTTACCGTAAATACAAAATAATTATACAACTTTAATAAAAATTGTGATTCATAGAGATGATATATTCGACACTATTAAATAGCGCTTGAGTACCCAATCCTGTGCCATTTCAAATTATTTAGTAGTGAGTGTAAAAATTGATTCTTAATCTGGAATCAATTCCTTTACTAACGACAATTTTAGTCGACAATTTGCATAGTGACAATACTTATTCGTAAGTAAATTCAATTTGTTGCCCATTCCCTGGACCTAAAGATGTCTGTTACAACTGCAGCCAAATATCACCGACAGTCGGAACAGCAAAGACAACTTCAAAATCCTTTTAAAATAAATATTCACTAATTATCTAACTTTATTATCTATACTGGATCGGATAGGAAAAGCTGGAGAACACTAGACAAAAACATAAGCTCAGTCTATTTACATATGTAGCTGCTGCAGCGATTCCTTTCAGTATAATTTGCAGTACTAAAATAATAATAATAATAATACTCGCATTTTGGCGCTTCAATTTTTGCTAAATGTTTGGCTGAGCTTCTCCTCCAATTTGTGGTATGCATCTTTGATGTTGTTACACAAATGGTAAATGGATTTTATTAGAAGCATTTTCATGGCAAAAATGCACTAGGAGGTTTGTCGTTGCCTACCGAGCAGCGAAAGCAGTTAGATAAATCTTTATGTATGCACCTCTAACCTACCTACAGTCGTTAAAATGAATCTTAAAATTGAATTACGGTAGGACTGTTTTATATTATTCTAGACAGATTTCCCTACAATACTCTAGACAGACCTTGTATATGATGCTGTATAGCCAGAGCTGGGTCGTACTGATTCCTTTAGGAATCAAATTACTCCCAATTACAGATTACAAGGAATTGTAATTAGGAATCAATTCCTTCAGTCCACAGCAAAGGAATCGATTACTTTTTCAATTCCTTGAAGTAATTTCAAATGTAATTGGTTTTTTCTTTAATTCCCTTACAAGGAATTTCATATTGTAATTGGAATAAATTACGTGCTAGTAATGTAATTTTTTTTCTCCAATTCCTTTGAAAGGAATTGAAAGTGTAATTGATTTTTTTTCAATTCCATTACCTGGAATAGCAAGAGTACTTTAGTTTTTTCAATTACTCAAAGGAATTGTAAAAGTAATCGAGAAACTGAAAGTTCATTCATGAATGTACAATGTGGAATTTTCGTTGTGGTCAAAGATTAAAATCGAAAGCACACATTGGACATCTTCTATGTATGTATATCTATATATATAAAAATGTTGTGTTCGTATGTCACGGTCATCGAAACCTGAGAACGGCTGAACCGATTTGAATAATTTTTTTTTTGTTATTCGGTATAATACCAGAATCAATGATATCACAAAAATTTGGAGGGTTGCCACCTATTTTAAAATTTTTAAACCCAATTATATTGATAAAATTAATGAATTATTACAATATGGGTATCAAGTTAAAGAGGTTTAAGAAAGATAACTGCTGGAAGCATTTTTGACGAGGGCTGCCACCTATTTGAAAATTTAAACTAAGTCAAATTGTTAAAAAAAAATGAAATATTGCCATGTGGGTGTCAAACTAAAGAGTTTTAAGAAGGCTTACTGCCAAAAATATGTTTGAGGAGGGTTGCCATCTGTTTGAAAATTTAACTAAATTACATTGATAAAATAAATAAAATATTACAATATGGGTATCAAATTGAAGAGGTTTAAAAAAGATAACTGTTGGAAATATTTTTGAGGGGGGCTGCCACCTATTTGGAAATTGTAACTCAGTTAAATTGATAAAGTAAATGCAATGTTGACATGTGGGTGTCAAACTAAAGAGTTTTGAAAAGGCTTACAGTCTACCATGAGCACTTCCAGAAATATGCAATATGAATAGTTCGGTTTATATGGGAGGTGCCACGCCCCATTCTCCAACCATGCAAATTTTTCTCCATGAGTATGGAATTGGTCGTATATATGTATATCACCATACCCAGTTCTAGTCCTCTACCACAAATATATGCCGTTTGGAGAATTCGGTTTGTATGGGAGGTGCCACGCCCCCTTTCAATATCGAAACTTTTTTTTAGCCTATAACCATCCTTGGAAAGTCTGCAGTATATTCCGAAATTTCAAAAAAATCGGTACGGCCTTTCTCGAGCTTTGCGAACAGAAAAAAACGCTTTTCAAAATATATATTAGTATAGACTAGCCAATATCTGCTTGTTTTGCGGCTTAAAACACTACTACCGATGAAAATCGATGGATAAATAAACAAGTTTGCAAGGGTTAGGTTGAAGTGGCTGCTAGGCCCAGAGGGCGCCAGCACACTTAGGCCCGATCATAGCCCATTGTGATTTGCAAGGGTTAAGTGAAAGTGTAATAATTTTTTGTATAAAATACTAGCAGGAAATAATGTTACCCATACGCCATATCGTATATGACCGTATGACCATGTTAAAGTTTGAATTTTTTCATTCGCAATGAAAACTTAAAATGAAAATAACTTGACTAAATGACCTTATCTAAAGAAAACGGTATACAGTTCCGTAACCTACTACTTAAAATTAATTTTACGTCTCTCGGCGTTTTTTGTTTTTTAGCGTCGTTACAGTGTTATCATCAAAATTTAGCCATAGCAATGAAATTTGTTTATAAAACAGTTAGGAAGTAGTCCACAGGGCTCATAATTCAAGCGGACTCTATCCTAATTTGTAACGCAGGATACCAGTAAGAGTACTTCAAA